GTGATATTTTGTGAGATGGTTATCATACTGTGAAAACCTCCTAGTGTTGCAACACTAGAAACCATTACACCAGTGTGGGTCTTTCAGAGTGGAGTACACGCACCACCCACCAAAACTAAAGCCTCATTAAACCAAACAGCCCCACCCCCACCCATAGCCCACCCTGAGGGGAAAGTAGCTCTGCATCAAGTGTGCAGTTTATGCTCACCAGTCACCTTTTAAGTGTGTAGGCCAGATTAGATAGCATTGGTATTCATGCTTCAGATAAAACACACATTATCTCAGACATGCATATCAAAGTGCTCCAGGGCTTAAACTGCAGCTGCTGCATTCCTCCGCCCCTCCCTCCCCTCTATTCATCACTCCCCCTTCACCTCCACTTTCCACCAGGCCATCCATCTAATCAATAACCCAGCCAGGGAGGCTCCTGCCCTGTGAACCTCTAAGAGCTCGCTCACAGCTGATCTTTACATGCTACAGTCCCACGCTTACACAATGAGCTGCTGGAAAACAGCCACAGAAATGGAGCAATTATCCTAATACACAAAACCATGCTAATCAGGTCCCGATTCAAACAGTCCATGCTGAGAGTTATGTAACAGTTAACATTCGCACACACACTCATACGTGAGCTGGTTGTTACTGCTGATAGCAGGTTATTAAACAGATAAAGAGCTGTTTTCCCTCGGAGAGACATGCAGGGAAGTTATATCTGTCCTGAGCCTCTCACACTAACACACACCAAGGACAAGTGCGTGCGTGTGTGTATGCGTGTGCGCCTTAGGTTTATGTCGTTTTCATTATCTTCAAAGCAAGAATAGAACACAGGCCACTTTAGAAATATTTGCATGTGTTATCAGTAAAGGTTCACCTTGTACGAGCATGTGTGTGTTATTGCTGCCTTTGTCAGCACGGATATAATGATTCTACCACGGTAAGTATTAAAGGGACAGTTCACCACAAAATCAAAATTACTAATATTTTCCTCTTATATGTAGTGCTATTAATCAGTTTAGATTGTTTTGGTGTGAGTTGCTGAGTATTGGAGATATTGGCCGTAGAGATGTCTGCCCTCTCTCCAATATAATGGAACTAGATGGCACTCAGCTTGTGGTGCTCAAAGTGCGAAAAAGTACATTTGGAAAACTCAACAACAATGTCTCTTTCCAGAAGTCATGACCTGGTTACTCAAAATAATCCACAGACCTTGTTGTGAGCAGTTTCATGTAGGAACTATTTTCTTTCTACCAAACTACACCCGCCAACCATATCACTGTGCAGAAAGAAGTGTACATCCACTGCTAGCTCACCTAGCACCACTGTGCTACTGAACATAACAGCTCAGCCGAGTAGGGTGCCATGTTGTCTGTTCCTAGTGCTCGGACTGAGCTGGGTAAGAAAGCTTTCATGTGCTCTGCTCCTCTCACTTGGAATAACCTCCTAAAATATTTGAAACTGTGCGACCTGGTCCCTCTGCCTATTTTTAAAGCTCTCAAAAGTACAGGGATGAATGAGTCGGTTGGGTCTTGCCATTGTGTGTAGGTGCTCTGATATTTCTACGTGTTACTGTGTATCTTTTATGTGTTTTTATTGTGTTGTTGTTTAGCTGTAACTTTTTGTGTGCTACTGTCTCGGCCAGGTCTCCCTTATAAAATAGACTGTTGATCTCAACAGGACTTATCTGGTTAAATATGGGTTAAATAAAGAAACAAAAAAATAAATGTTTACATCTCATATCACAACCATGAGTCTCTTGTCCATGAGTAGATGCACGCTTCCTTCTGTGCGGCGATACGGTTGGCGGGTGTAGCTCGGCAGAAAGAAAATAGTTCCTACATGAATTGTAATGTTGACTTTTTTTCAATACGTGCTAAATAAACAAACAAACAAACTCCAAAACAGTCTAAACCGATAAATAGCAGGTAAGATTTTAGGGTGAAGTGTCCCCTTAAAGTCTCATATTTTGCTTCAATACTGTGGTTTCATAAGAATTTAATATCATTTATATCGTGAGAATTAGTGGTTAGAAGAAAGTGAAGCAGAGTCTGATTCCTGCAGTGAAAGGCAGAAATCTACACAACATGCAGCTACAAAACAAGTGTGTACAATGAACTCAAGTGTGTGTGTGTGTGGTTGTAAAGTCCCCCGAGGTCTCACAGACTAAAGGCATTTGTGTTATTCTGCTTTCGCTCCCCCAGCACCTTCCGCACGAACAACATGACAGTTCAACCAGGCAGAGTGAACGAGAAGAGAAGAAAGTTCAAAGTGACAGAACTCTATCCAAAGTGCTGAGTTCATGTACATGTATAGGTTTAAACACACACAATCACACACTGAGAAAACAGGTCTAATGACAGGGTTTACACACTGGATCACTTGACAAGGTGCGCCCAGCTGAATGATAGTTATTGTGGCTGAACCAAAAAGACTCCCAGTGATGTGTGTTTGTGTGCATTAATTTTCACTTCATATTCATTATGCCCTGCAAACATGACACCACTAATCCCTGTAATCAGAGAGCAAATATTTACTCAGCAGCCTATCCATGTCCGGGACTGTATGACTGACACATCCTGGTGCCTGAACGGACCAATCAGAAGTCTCCAGCTCATGAGGAACCAGCCCACTACAGTATAAACTGACTCAATGATGTTTAACCCCTTTAACAGAAGTATTTAGAGACTAGAGCAACAAATACCTGCGCCTTTTATTGGAATTATTTAATTCACTTTTCGTGGATGTACCTGTCATCACTTCAGTGGAGATACTTTATGCGTCAGCCAAAGGAAGACGAGTAAGAAGTGTGTTTATACCAGGAATTAATAAGAGTGTTATATTCAAAAACATCAAATCAGAGTTTGTAAAAACAACATAAGTGTTTGCGCCACAGAGCCACACATGAGAGAGCATGCCTCTTGAGAATTGTCATACAGGCTCATACCGCTCACACGCACTCACAAATCCATCAGCACATCAGTGTCAAACGGCAGCAGGATGTTTCAGTGGCATCATGTGTTGTTGTTGTTAATGGCAGCTGGGTGTGGACTCAGACAAGCCTCTCCCTGCTTAACGCTTCCTACTAAAAACAGCCATTACTCCGCTCCTCCTCTACAAGCATCCCAACCAGCACCTTAAAAACAGCAACACCGTCATATCACGGACAACTGTGCGTGATGCTTTAATTACAGGCTGTGGGTGCTTTGCTCTAAAATGCCAAAGGGGAAGGATGGTGTGCTGATAACTGATAGTTTCCCCTCATTTGCCCCCTTGGAGCTGCACTAGACCGTATTGTATTTACATGTACAAACACATCTACCTTATCTGCCTTTAAAGTGGTGCACCAGACACACTGTAAAGCCACCATAGTTACCAGAAACAGTATTGTTATTTGTGGGGGAACTCTCACTAACAGGAGGTACGATACTGGCTGCATCCAAAAATATTTTCATTAAACAGAAGATCCCATCTAGAGAAAACTAAAGTCAATAATGAGGCTGAACTTCCTACGATACAGCCACAGTAGACAGAAAGGGACACCATTTTTTATGTTCTCATTATAAAGACTTAAACTACCACACTGGTGCCGTGGAGCTCCAGTGAGACATAACATAAATAACACATAACAATCCAGTCACCAGAATGAAAGGTTGGCATTGCACATTTCTGCAAACCACAGATTCGTTACATTTGCATGTTATTATATGGTGGACACCTTAAATTTTACGCTTCAACAACGTGTGGTTAGGTTTAGGCACAAAAACCACTTGGTTTTGTTTGGAAAAGATCATGTTTTGGCTTTTTTGGACATAATTACTGCAGGAAAAGCAGAAACGGGTTGTTTGTAGGTCTCAAACAGTGGTGTGCAGCTTGACAGACGTTTCACCCAGGTGTCACACCATCCACTGTCCCCTCTTCCTCCCGATGCCAAAGTCAGCTCATATACTGTCACTTTGAAAATGTTAATATGATATGTATGAAACATACAAATGTAATGTATTCAAGGTTTGCAAATTATTGTGATTACTGTATCAGGAAACTTGAGAAGAATCTCCTCATTAAAGCTGAACACAGCTAGACCTTGCAAGCTAGCTATGATGTTTATAAGGCGGTGACTAATGTTGGCCTCTACTGATTATGTTAAAGTCACAATGAAAAACATGAAATCCCCAAATTTCCTTCCAACTTACTCTTAGATTTTTGAAAGCAGGTCACAGTTGTGATCTGAAGGATTTTGGAGACACTAACTAACAAAATCAGAGGGTGTATCGTTGTGAGCAAACCAGATATGCTCCACTGAGTCCTGTTTTCCTTTAACTTGTAGAAAGAAGCAATTAACACTCTTATGCCCCTAAATGCTCTCCACCTTTCAGCCCTTAGATTTATAACTAGAGACAGCTATAGCACTCATCATAGTTTTCTATATCCTTCTCTTTCTATTAGAAAGGACTTTTTAAATTGGCTGTTTTATGTCGTTATTAATGTACTCAGGTCTCTTGTGAAAATGAGATTGCGATCTCACCAGAATTGACCTGATTAAATAAAGGTTTATATATATATTACTTGTCCTGGTATTAATGTCAGCTGGACAACAAGCTGAGTGAAATCTGTTGTTTACGTGCACTGACTGTCGCATCTTTACCAAGGTCTCTCATTGCCCTCAGTATATAAAAGTTTACACTTCACATTTATCCTGTAAAGTATGAACTGTACTGGTTCATTTCATTATAAAATAAAAACACTGCCTGGCCATATCTGCAGTGTGGTCAATATGCAAATCAAGCAGCTTGGGCTGATTTCCTGCTTGGCCTTTCTTGCCAACACGTCTGAAAATCTCTATTAAAGTATTTCTCCGAGCTTTCCTAATTACCCAAACATTATCACGCACCGCAGCACTGGACGACTGCCATTTTTATTTGTCACACAGCCTGAAGCTTTCACTCCACAGCAGGTGATGTGAGTGTTTTTTCAGTGTTTGGTAAGCGCAGAAATAAGTGAAGTACCTCAGTGAAGAGATGCTGGATGACTGTAGCCAGAGCCTCCACTCTCTTATTCCCCTGGACAAGTAGCTTCCTCAGCTGGATGATGGCTTGGTTCTTCTTCTCCGCCTGCTCTTTGCTCTGGTTCTGTTTAGCTGTGACCATCCGCTCGGCCACAGCCGCCCCGGCTGCTGCTGGCTTGGGTGCATTCTGCAGGCGGGATACTGCTTTGGGGCTGGATCGTGACCCAGTTTTTGCTTTGGACCCAAGAGCAGGGGCTCCGGTGGTGCCTGACCCAGTGTTGGTGGTATCAGTGGCAGGCGCTGGGAGAGCTGCTGGTACTGGTGTATTACCATTCACCACATCCGGTACCTAGGAGTAAAAAATACCACATAGCATTCTAAATAAAGATATTAAATCAGAGGACTTGATTTTGAGCGAAATATATTTATGAAAAACATAAAAAACTTAAGTAAATGTCCTCAAATGAACCCATATACATTTGATTTATCATCATGTCTGCACACTTATAAAATGCTGAACGACAACTTGTCCACATGAGAAGAAGAAATGTAGTCAAGAAACACAAATATAAAGAGCAAGATGACTTTATATTATGGTTGAATGTGGATGCTCCTACCCTCTGTGGCTAATTGACTGCTTAATCAACTTTTATCCACCTCAAAAATACCTGTATTTTGCCCGCGACTGAGCTGAATGTGCGTCCTAAAGCTCAAAACGTTAAAAAAGAAGAGGACGTACCAGGTCAGGTGGAGCTTGCTGCTTCTTCTGGTTGTTCCCTCCTGCAGGAGCTGCTACTTGCGAGCTGCTGTTGGTGTTTGTGGGTCTTGCCGGTGCCTCCCGGGGCTTGTTTTTGTCCACTGCAAGAGAACGGCGACTTCTTAGTGTGCGGGTGGCAGGCGCAACATTCAACATGGTGTCCACACACACGCAGAATACTCACTCAGCCCCATTAACAAAGAGTAAAGCCCCACAGCGCAGCAGGGTCACAACATAAAACTACACTCACTCATCCTCTGAACACAATAACAACCAAATACATGTGTGTAAAAGAAAACAGAGGAAAGTGTATGAACACACACAACGGTGGCCCGTCTGGACTCGACCACCACAACATCAAAACACAGAAAACATATAAACACAGCCCACACACACACACACACACACACATACACATACACTCGTCTCATACGTTTGCTCTGGTCTGGTAAATGAGAATACGCCCTGCTGACTGTAGAGACCGATGCATCATGGGATTGCGTGGTAATGATGGCAAATGTGTGTGTGTGTGTGTGTGTGTGTGTGTGTGTGTGTGTGTGTGTGTGTGTGTGATGGGCCCTGGGTGTGCATTAAGGAGTGCATTACCAGAGAAAAAGCAATTAGAGAGAGACAGAGAGATCAACACACGTTTTTTCTGTCTCCTCCTCTGCTCTCTTTCTCTCTCATCTCCTCCATCCTTCCCTGCACGTATTGGCAGTCTGTCAGCTCCACTGCCGTCAGAGCTGCATACTGATTGGAAATAAAGCTCAGCGTACTTCAGTCTGGGGAAATAAACCTTAATACAGTCACCAGCAACACTAACACCACTGTCAGTAATCACATACTTGCAAAACTCACACTTAGACTGAGCTCCAATCTCATCTGACCAGGCTTTAACCTCTGGGGCTAAAAAATGAGGCTAATGTCTAAGTGGGATTTAGGAAGAGCAGAAGAAATGTCCGCTTGTCACCAGGCTACCTTATACAATGTAAAATGCCTTAGACTTGTGCTAATGATGTTAGCATCTGTTTGGAAAACATGTTTAGCATGAGACAGTTGTTTTGTCAGTGAACCTTGTGAGTTGTAATGGAGCCAAATTTTGTAACGTCACCTTTGTTAAATGTTGCTGTTGTCCCTGGCCTCATATGAGTAGAGAGAGGTCCACTAGCTGCTAGGCTAATTCATACAATGTGAAATGACACAGGCTTGTGCTAAAAACATTAGCATGTCATATTTGTGGGGGAAAATGTGTCCAGATAAAGACAAGTGTTTGTCTGTGAATGCTGCGAGTTATAGTGAAGCTGATTTGTGTACATGAGTTTGAAATTGTCTCCATTAAGCCATGTTTAATGTGTGTTTAATGCGTGTTTCAGGTGTGTCAACTAAACTTAACAACACTTCACAGAAACCGCCGCTGCCAACTAGAGTTTTGGAGGTGAAACTGCAGAGCGACGCAGACACCACTGCTCAAGTGCTCACAACGGCGTAGGCCACATGCATAGGCTACGGCGTAGGGTCTCCAACACAGTATAAATCCCCCTTAAAAGTGCCAAAAACTGCACTTCCTTTAATGGCCACCTGAGACTGGCTCAATCCCCTTAGAACCCCCCCATAAAATGCACTGCTAACAGTAGCGATAAACATGTTTACAGCCTGATACAAAAACTGTTTTGGTCTCTATGGCTAATTTTAATCTTCTTCTTTAATCTTTTTATATAACTCAACCATTTTAAGGATTAAAGTTGGGCATAATTAAGGGAGCGGCTGCTTTGAGTGACAGACTGTGGTCTACGCCTCGCAAACAGCCTGTGTGTCAGATCCAAACACTCGCTCCTCCACAGCTCCATCCTCTCGTCCAGATTCAGAGTGATTCTTTACTGTCCTCTAAAGAAGAAATTTGCTTTCACAGGCTGTACACAATCAAACACTTAACGAGTAGGTAAACCTCAGAATTTTGGCTTTAGTGCCTCTAACCTGGAAATTTAAAAAAAATGCCTCGACCATTTCAGCCACATGCCTCAGATCAGCCAACAGCAAAACTGAATTGCAATAGCTTGGTTTCAACGGGTAGAGTGCTGATTCTATTCTTGTTTCTAACACTATATGTATCTTAATCTCAGGTTGATTTTTATCCAACTAGAAAAACCAATAACCTTTGCCTTGCTATAGTTATTGCTGAAGCCATTGTGTCATGAATATGTTCTATCTTATAAGTGCAGGGTTTTATTTTCTGTTTGTTTTTTTCATAATAGTGTCTTTTAGCAGATAGCAATTATTCTCTGTTTCGTGCCCAGGCACTACAGATGAAAATTAGCTTATGGCCTTCTCTGGTGCAGCTAAGTAGATGTGCCAAACTGGAGTCTTTAAAACTGGAGTCCACAAACCACTGGATGATGTCTCGGTGGCTATGTCCATTATTTTACACAGTCTATGCATCTGACAGTCTCTCCTCGCCCACTGACAGCACAGCTTCTTGTGACAAATCACACTTGCAACAGAGATGTGAGGTGCAAAAAGCCTGTAAATAATTCAGTATTCCCCAGCAGACTCTGGTGTGATGTCACATAGGTTTTCCGTGCAGACATGCAGTCACTGGGCCAGTAATACAGTGCTACCTGCAGGACCATGAGTGTTGTGTTATCTGAATTTTAATGCTTTGAAAATGAGTATTTTTTCTGAATCCTGGGATTAATGAGTTGAAAATTTCACTCTCAAATTTTAGTTTCATCAGGAGCCAAATTCAGTTGGTCTTAGCTGAAACTGTCACAAAAGGTATTGTGAGATTTCAATGGATGAGATTGTTTGGTAAAGTGATGTTTTATTCTTGTTGAGTGAAAAATGATGCACCGAATTTATCTTTAAAATCTAATTCAAATGCTCCTAGACTCATATAGGTCAGTACTCTGCAAATAGACTTGAGGTAACTTCCTTAAAGATACTGCCACCTACTGGCAGCCACTGAGCAGAACATGCTGGTCTGTTTGAATGTTTCTAATCAGAGCGTGTGGGAGAGGAACAAGAAAGGTCAAACATAATTGAAATGGATTGGACTGCTGAACACTTGAGTATGGGAGCGATTGGGGGGAAATCATTAGCACACACTGACAGCTAAAAGCTGTAAAACACAAACTCAATTTAATCTATGAGTCATCGTCGGCAGCATCTAACGACAGAAGCAAACATCCTGATGAGAGTGCAACCACCTGCTGCTGCGGTCTTACAGTGAGACACTGAAGGACAAGCAGGAGCGGTGACACTTATTAGATGTGTATGTCTGACTTTTTATAGTCTAGCTGATCAGCTCAAATTTGAGACAACGATTAACATATTTATATTTATATTCATAAAGATCTGAATATAACACCAGTATCAGCAAGACAGAATGTTCCAATCATTATTCCAGTGTGTGGAAAATGTTTGTGGGTGTAGAAATATGAAGGGAGGTGAGAACATTTTGTAGTGCAAGGGAGCAGTTGCTAAGACAACACATATCATGTTGAGTGTCTGCCTCCTGTTGCAATGTGTGACGGGTTTGTGTGAGTGTGTTGGAGATGATGTTTTGTACCTGGATTCTGCCAGGTAGTCATGCAGAGCTGCTGAGCCCAGACTGAGAGAGAAACAACACTGTTAGCATGCACATCACGTTACAGAAGCACAGCGGACAGGAAAGGACAATCCCTGTGGTGTCATGAGAGTCTCCTCCAGTACACAGTAAGATGACCTTCATAACATATGATGAGATAGAGGATCATCATATGAATTATTGGAAGGCTGTGTGACAAATAAAGATGTGATGATAAAGATGAGATGCACTGAAAAATTTGACAGTCACATACCTTTGTGAAGCTGTTTTATCAGTTTGATAGGCATCACCATCACGTCAGCCATCTCATTTGTACCAGTCTCATGATCACTCAGTGGGATTGTCTGCTGTGCATTTAATCACAATATAATCGAGGGGAAACCAGTGAGGGACTGGGGAGGATTTTGGGAGTGGAGGAATGAAAACACTGGAGAAGCAGTGGGGGCTATGTGTCGACCTGTTTTTAAAACAACAACAAATATGTCATGTCTTCTCTCTAAAATAGCGACTGTGTTCAACCACCTGCCAGATTATTTCACTTTGGCTTGGAAAAAACAACCTCCTTCACTTGGTGGTTTTACACAGCCGTCCAATCACAGTGGAGGAGGGGTGGGACAAATACCCCAAAGACCAACCATCACATTGCTGAACATCAAAAGCAACAACGGAGAAGAGAGATCTTCTGTGATGGCCGTGCCCACAGCAACACACAAAAGTTATCTAAAGTCACTTCCTGGTTGGAGCTGGGCAAAAGATGGGGCTGATTTTATGCAGAAGGCCATCCCATGGACTGCAACAACAGCTATGACATCATGGTGGGAATAGGGGTTTCTTTGTGTTAGTCTCAGTTAATGTTAGTGTAAGTTCTCCCCTTTATGTTTAAGTTGGTCTGATCCGCGACTATATATGTTGCTCCATCATCTCATTTTGTTCGGTCTGTTTGTTGAGTTCATGTCTAGTTTTGTTAGCCTTTTTTTGCAGAGTTATGTTTGGCCCTGTAACTCAAACTTTGTTATCTTTAGTCATTTGCTTTGTAAAATTTATTTTTTGAGAAATAAACCCACCTGTTTTTGAGCTTTAAATCTGTGTTTTTGTGCTTTGACTGCTTGGTCCATGACAACATCTCAAATGAAAATACAGTGTGTCCCTTATTGTGCCTCATTGTTCTTCTTTGTTCTGCATTAAACAGTGAATAAGTATTTAATTTGCTTTAAAACTGTGTCAGCTTATTCATTTAAAAAGCAGCAACATAATAGCTGAGAGTTTATTTATGAAGCACTAAAATCAAAACAAATTAAGTAATTTGCAAAAACAATAAAAATGTTGGTGTTAGCTACTGCATATCATCCTGTTGAGCCACCCTTAATCACCACAAGGGAAATTCGTTCACAGTGACAGTCCTAGTTTAATGACAAAGTCGAGTCGAGTTTCAGTGTCAGTATGAGTTTGTTAACAGCTGGGTTAGGATGTTTGTCACTGCTGATTTGTTAGCTCTTGCTAAATGGGCAGACACTGAAT